ATGAAAGCTGCTGCAAAAACACGTTTTAAATTTACGATTGAAAAATGATATTTATAACAACATGCTATGAAAACTACATATTTTGAAAATAAGATAATAAAATTAGTACCAAAGTGATTCAGTCGGTGGAAAAAAAAATTGCAATAATTCATAAACAAGATAATGATTCACCGAGGTCATTATGATGACGCCATCATTGAAAAATGGTATTTAGTAGAGCGAAGAGCCAAATTGAGCAGTCGTCCTAACTAAAGAGTAAAATAAATAACGAAAAAACAAAATTACAATGGCTTTTACAACAAAAAACTTGCTAGTAATAGCTTTTGTAGTTATATGTTTGTGTTGCGAGTATTACTGTCAATGCACTGGGGATTCTGATTGTACAGCATGCACTGGTTATGGAAACTCTCCAAATGCACAAACCTGTACCAGTTCTCACATTTTAAGGACTAGAGTTGTGTTAGTAATGCGATATTAATCTTTACCTACTGAATAATCTACATTTTAATTTAATCTCTACCTAGTAAATACTCTACATTTTAATTTAATCTCTACCTAGTAAATACTCTACATTTTAAATTTTGTTAGAATCCATTGGCAAATAATAGAGATATTAGATCCAAAAGACTTAGGTAAGATACTCTGTATTTTGCAAACAATATAATAAAACAGCAAAAGAGTAGATGGCGGTCGGGCCTTATTACCCGAACTTACCTTATTATCTTTTAATAGAACAAGATGTAYTGGAAACTACCTATTTTGAAAATAAGATGATGAAATAAATACCAAAATAGWCTATGTCGGTGGAAAAAAGGTATTACAATGATTTGTAAACAAGATAATGAATTATGCACCGAGGTCAKTATGACGTCGCCGTGGGTAGTAAAATGTTATATAGTAGAGCGTATAGCTAAATTCATCAGTTGACCGAAGTTAAAGGTGATATAAATAACGAAAAAATAAAATACTATGGCTTTTACAACAAAAAACTTGCTACTAATAGCAGTTATAGTTATGTGTTTGTGTTCCGAGTATTACTGCCAATGCACTGGGGGTGCTGATTGTACTAGTTGTACACAAGCATGCACTAATTGTGAAAACTGTC